GGTGGGGAAATGGGCGGGGCCAGGGCCCCTGGAGGGTCCTCTTTTTTTATTTAATAGATATGGTAACCCTACCCTCAACCTTCTCTCCACAAGCAGTGCACATGGCCCCACTCTCCAGAAGCACTGGGGTGTGTGTGTGTATAACCCTGACCCCTCAAATTTTCCCATGTGATTTTATAGGGACAGTCCCGATATTTGAGGCTTTTCTTATACAGGCACTTATTATCCCCCACCCCCATCCCGATTTTTCACACTTGCTATCTGATCACCCTACCCACCCCCTGGTTGCTGCTTCTTGACTCACACAAAGCTGATCCCATGTGACCACCTCTATCTTGCCCTGCCAGGGCCCCACAAGCCCTGCATGATACTGATCCCCCCGGCCCACCCTGCAGCGCTGACTGCTGGCGCGCCCCCACCTCTCCCTCCTGGCGCCTGGGGAACGGAAGCACCTGACAGAGACACACTACTCCCCCCACTCGACCGCCACTGGAGAGTGACGTCATGTGACCGGCCCTGGGCTCCTCTAGAAGAAGCGGCGCGGCCGGGAGTTGTGAAACAAACAAGTAGCGGAGGTGGGCAGGGACAGAAGAGACACGCGCTACTGCACAAGTTAGTTGATGCTGTGGTTGCCGCGTACGGCTGGGCGCGCAAACGGCGCGGGAGGGCGGCCAGGCGCAGGGAGGGAGCTATGGCGACGTACGTGAGCGAGCTGGAGGTGGCCAAGAAGAACCTGAGCGAGGCGCTGGGCGAGAACGTGAAGCAGTGAGTGCGCCCCGCTCCCCACCACCCTGTGCCCAGCCCGGCTAGGCCCGTCGAGCCCCGGCCTCGATTTCTGCCCGGTCCCGGGGCCTGCCGGCTGGTGGAGACCGCTCCTGGGCCGAGGGGCTCAGCCAGGAGCGTGTCCCAGTCGCTGGGCGCCCCGTGGCCTCGACTTTCCCTAGGGCACCAGGCAGCGCCCGGCCCCCAGGGGCTGAGATCCTGGCCTGGTGGGGACCCCTGGGGCTAGGCCCAGGCCGCGGGGCAGGGCGGGGGACCCCGGCGTCGCACTTCAGGCCGCGGGAGGAGGGGGCGGAGAGCCTGGTCAGGTAATGGGTGTCCGCGGCTCCCCGCGCGGCCTGTGGGCCGGCGTTTAAGGGGAGCGGCGCCTGACAGGGGAACTAACCACGGGAACCAGCGTCACGGGGCCTGGTGGCGTCTCCGTCGCGGGCCATTTTGAAATCCCGACTGGCCGTTCGGGCTGTCAGAGCTGCCTGGGCACTGGCGTGGGGACGCTCTGCGGCCTGCGCTGGCGGGGGCTCGGGCTGGGGGATCACAGCGCTGCCTCGCAGGCTATGACTTTATTCATCTAAGCAGCGTGTTTTCGTGCGTTGACAGGAAGCGTGAGCTTTGCAGGCCCAGCTTAATAACCGTTCGTGTCCGTTTCACCCCGTGTTCGGGCCACTGGGGGCAGTAAGAGATCTGGGGAAGTGATGAAGTAGCTGCTGTCTCTTCTCCCACAGCCTATCCAGTTAAAACTCCGGATTTAGCAAAAAGCTGGCAAATGTAGCCGGAAGGGACCTGCTGACTCCGGTTTACTTTATATGAGCTGGTCTTCATGCAGAGAGGCAAGCTTTTTTCACCCTCTGGGTTTGCACTAAAACATCCTGTTCCACCATGGGAAATTGTAGGCCCTCATTTTTAACACACATGGGGCTTAACTAGGTCACTTAAGGTCTGCCTGTTTAATTAACGATGCCTCCTTTCCCCTCTGCTTAAACCAAACAGCTAGTAAGCAAAATGAGAACTGGTTGTTCTCTCTTGGTCTTTTACTTATAGTAAATTTAGAAATCTGCAAGGATTCTGTCTGAGTACAATGGACCAGTTAGTTCATGTGCCTTTGTCTATGCTAAACTTAGTTTTATATAATTGTTTTCCCATTTCCCCTGTAATAAACTTAAATAACAAATTAGAGACTTCTGTTTATAAGCAGTATAATGGAAATTGAATTGATCCAAATGGGTTCTGTCTCTGGTTCTTCCACTGGGTTATTTTGACTCTGGTCAAGTCACTTCACATCTTTGTGCCTTTATTTTCCCAACACCAAAATGGTGAAAATGATATTTCCATCCCTTGTAAAGCACTCTGTGGGAGCTAGGTAGTATTATTAATGGCAGGCATAAACTCTGTATGTTAGTGCTGCAGTTTGCTTCTAACACATTTTTTTATTAGATCACGGTGGCAGATAAGAATTTGTTGTAATAGTGCTTAAATGCTTTTACCTACAGGGAAATACTGTCACACAGAATGAATGACCATAATTACTAGTCTTCAGTTCAGTGACTTTCTGGCTCATGTTTGGTCTCAGAAGCTGGTGTTGCTTTAGTGCATGAAAGCTTGGGCTATCAAAGGGAAAGCATATCGCAGATGAAGGATGTGTCTGATGGAGATTTTGGGAGAAAGTGTTAATGGTCATACTATAGCGTTGAAAGTTTAACACCAGTATTAACGAGAAGCTGGCATGAGGTGTAGGTGTACCTGTACGATCTAGAGAGCACAGAAGCACAGTTCTCACCATCTATCTGCAGATGCTCCATATTCTGTGCTTCTTGGCATGTTTTAAACCCTAATGCCATACCTTCTGCCTTCTGTAGATGCTAGAAGGGGGAAGGCAGCTTTCTCTTCTACCTTTCATCCCATGTCACAGGCACCTGACTTTGAAGGCAGGTGTCTGCTACTCTGAATCTCAGTTTTTGGGGGATCTTGCCTTATGGATAACTCCAGTGCTTGCCTCTGCTGTGAGTCAAACTGACCCAAGTCTTGTCAATTTCATTCTATTGCTGTTTTGGGATGCTATGAGCAGCATCGCAGGTAGTAGACTGTCTGCAGACTCACTGTGACAACTCTTTCTATTATATATGTATGTTTATCTTCATAATCTCCACTTATAAGAAGTGGGGGTTTGAGCCATCATGGTTCTATTTTTAAGCATTTTATAACAGAGATTCGTATTATTAGCTCCATTTTACAGAGTGGGAAACTGGGCCCAGACAAGTGAAGTGACTTGCTCATTCACCCAGCTGACCATTGGGAGAGCTGGGAATAGAACTAGATCTCCTGGGTCCCAGTCCGATGCACTGTGCCAATAAGCCACATTGTATCCCTTAGTTAGTGGAGCACAGCTGTTTCTCATCCCCTCTTGTCAGGGAAAGTTTCCTATTCACCAGGGTTTTTCAAATCCTGTTGGTCTAACACTGGTCAATTCTATTATATATTCATTTGATGAGTCGATTGTTTACCTAATTGGGAGCACTTTCCCTTTTCCCTCAAATGTGCTTTTAAAGTGTACATCATTCACCACAGTGTTTTAGCTTGAATTGAGTATGGGAAGAAGGAGAAAGATCACAAATAATTTTTTAAATATAACTGTGACTGGGAGATGTGATTACCTTAAGGACTCCATGCTTTTTGGCCCACCTCTCTGCTCATTTCCTGTCCACCACACTGCCTGGGATGAAACACGTGAAATGGGATGTACACTGCTCTGCAGTGTTTGCTCCGCAAAAAATCTATCAATTTAACAGAAGGATATAGGCAGAGAGTTGGGGGGAAGGATCTGGAAACAGCCCCAGGAAGTGTTGTGTCTCCCCTCTCCTATGTGGATTAAAAAACGATACGTTTGATTCAACAATGTTTGAAAACACAAATGTCTGCTTCCCCCCTCTCCCCTCCCAACTTATGGTTGCTGAAACAGCATTAATTATCCCAGCATTCTCTCTGCTCATCAGCAGAGTCACAAAGTATAATTGCTGTCGTGGTGACTGGTGGCAAGGTGACATATCTGCTGAATCATTTAGGAACAGGAGTAGGGATCCATGGGGTTGTGGGAGGGTAAATAAGGTGCTACAGATGCATGTTGTAATCTTGGTTGGAGGATGGAGGCCTACTCTGCTTCCCTCTGCATCTTTATCTGAGAGGAAAACAGAGGTTTGAAGCACTACTAGGACTCTAAAAAGTAAGTAAATGCCTATAGTCCTCTGCTTTATATTTGGATAGAGCCAGCTGGCTTCCTCAGATGCTATACTCCAGGCCTGCACAACATGCGGCCCGGGGGCCGCATGCGGCCCATGTGGGCTCACTGTGCGGCCCGCGGGGGTTGAGTAGATGGGCTCACTGTGCGGCCCGCAGGGGGGTGAGTAGGCAAGCGGCGGGTGAGGGAGGGGGGCTGAGTGGGCGGGCAGTGGCGGGGAATGAGTAGGCGAGCCGGGCGGGTGGAGGGCTGAGGAGGCGAGCAAGCAGGCAGTGGCGGGGGGGTGAGTAGGCGAGCCGGGGGAGGGGGGCTGAGGAGGCGAGTGGTGAGTCGGTGGCTGACCTGTTCTACTGATCTGGTCTGGCTCCCATCCCCTCTCCCAGGGCCGTCTCCAGGCACCAGCAAAACAAGCAGGTGCTTGGGGCAGCACATTTCTAGGGGTGGCATTCTGGCGCCGGCTATCATAGATGCCGACTCTGGGGCATGGGGAAAAAGTGCCCTCGCTGCCCCAGCTCGCCTCTGCCTGCTCCCCTGAGTGTGCCGCCGCCGCTCTGCTTCTCCCCCCTCCCTCCCAGGCTTGCCACATGCTAAACAGCTGTTTAGCGCAGCAAGGCTGGGAGGGAGGAGAAGCCGAGCGGTGGGCGCTCGGGGGAGGCAGTGGAGGTGGAGCGGAGGTGAGCTGGAGCGGGAAGCGGTTCCTCTACCCCCCCATTACTTCCTGTGCCCCCCCCACCCTACCTCACCTCTGCTCCGCCTGCTCCCCTGAATGCTCCGCCTTCCCTCGCCTGAGAGGGAGGGGGGAGAAGCGGAGCGGCGGCACACCCAGGGGAGCAGGCGGAGTGGAGGTGAGCTAGGGCCGGTTCTGGCTTTCTGGTCGCCTCAAGCCAAAGGAAAAACACACCCCCGCAGCCGCGCCCCGCCGGGCGGGGGGAGGAGGAGGAAGCAGGGGGGGAGAGAGAAAGGGGGCGGCCAGGGCTTCAGCGGGGCGCTGCCCCGCGGCCCCTCCCGCCCTGCCCCCTGCCGGGAGGGCTCCAGTCGGCTGGGAGGGAAGGACGCAGGCTGCCCTGCCGGGCTTGCTGCAGGGCGCTCCCGTCCTCCGCGCTGCCGCCCCCCCCACAGGGCAGCCGGAGCGGAACAACAACAACAAAAAAGCGGCCGTGCCTCCCTAGGATTGGGCGGAATGCCGCCTCCTACAAGCTGCTGCCCCAAGCACCAGCTTGCTCGCCCAGTGCCTGGAGCCGGCCCTGGCTAGGGCGGGAGGTCACGGGGGGGCCGCAGGAAGCAATGGCGGGGGAGAAATGCGGCACGCCGGGGGAGGAAGTGGTGCTGGGGATTTGGGGAAGGGGTTCGGAAGGGGTGGAGTTGGGGTGGGGCAGAGGGGCACGAAAAAGAAAGGGGAGGCGGCCAAAAATTTTTTTGCTTGGGGCGGCAAAAATCCTAGAGCCAGCCCTGCCCTCTCCAAGGGTTGCAGCTGTCTGGAGGTGCCTGCCTTCCTCATTCACACCTCATTCATTCAACAGGGCAATTGATTACAAAGTGGGGGGAAGATCTTATTCTACTTCTAGCAAAAAGACATTTTTCTTTTACCTTAATTATACTACCTTAGGGGCCCGCTATAACACATTACCGAGGTTCAATACTGCTGTTTCGGTGGGGCGGCACTGGGGAAGGAAGGTTTGTTTCCGCGGGGCAGGTGGCGTGGGGGGGGAGGTGTGTGTTTCGGCCGCACTGGGGGGGTTGTTTCTGTGGGGGCGGG